ACCTCAGAAGTTCATTTAGTGGCACACATTCACTAACTGTTTCTTTTAACAATGTAAGGTTCATTGAACCACAGAAGTTCATTTAGTGGCACACATTCACTAACTGTTTCTTTTAACAATGTAAGGTTCATTGAACCACAGAAGTTCATTTAATGAAACACATTCACTAACTGTTTCTTTTAACAATATAAGGTTCACTGAACCACAGAAGTTCATTTAGTGGCACACATTCACTAATTGTTTCTATTAACAATGTCAGGTTCATTGAACCACAGAAGTTCATTTAATGGCACACATTCACTAACTGTTTCTATTAACAATGTCAGGTTCATTGAACCACAGAAGTTCATTTAGTGGCACACATTCACTAACTGTTTCTATTAACAATGTCAGGTTCATTGAACCACAGAAGTTCATTTAATGGCACACATTCACTAACTGTTTCTATTAACAATGTCAGGTTCATTGGAACTTACTAAAACAGGTGATGGGGTAATAATTATTTTTATGGCATGTGGTTAAAATGTTTATAACAGTACACTTAGAGAAACAAGTTTTAGAACACAATGACAGCCTGAAAAATGAACTCAGAATTTTGAAATACTAACAGTTTTTCATTTGTCTCTCATCATTTTGCTAACATACACACAGTCTATCTTGATAATAGCAATACCATATGTAAAACTTTAAGCATTTGTTGCTATTATTTATGAATTACATGAATAAAACATACACTGGAAAAACAATGTTGGGATTCAATAACTAGATCATTCTTCAAGCCTTTCTTTAATGAAAATTCTAAGTTGTCTGACTACTGAAAGTTACACTGTTAAAAATACTATAAAAAGTTTATATTGTAGTTATATTATTTATGATTCATTTTCATGCATTCTCCACATGCAAAGGGTTTTTCACTATATACGGCAATAATATGCATATTCAGTCACCTTGCCCCTGGCCATAAACATGGCTTGTGACTACACATGTTAAAAGCTTTTCCCTTCTGTTGCAATTAAGCTGAAGTGTGATAATTTGTAAGTGCTGATAGCATCTCAAATTGACCCTTTCTGGGAGGGTTACATTACAGGACGATCTGGTGTAAAGAGAAGACCATTTTATCATTTTGAATAAAACAATATTTGTAAGGTTGAACCGTACTGGTAAAGCAAGGGAAGGCATGATTCCAGTGGCAAAAAAAAAGCAGACTATTTCATAAGACTGGCTACCAGTTGCACACTGGAGTTAGTGAAAAAAAGTTAAAGCTTTTCAAAGGAAGTAATCCAAAAGAAAAGCAGTCCATTGGAGCTAAATTGGAACCCCCTTTGGAACCACAAACAAGGATTCAAATCTACAAAAAGGACACAACAGCAGTGTTCACAAACTTTTCTCAGTGCAAAAAGTTGAATGGACAATTAAATGTCAAAAGCTGTCCAAGTATTATCCAGCAAGTGTTCTCATGTAAAGAAATCAAAGTATGTCATCACATTAAACAAAGCAAATTTCTACTTAAGTGTCTGCAAAAATCCAGACTATATATTAAAATCCTGACAGTCATACATTTCAGAAATGATAAAAGGGCATGTCTCAAAGGTTTTTAAAAGAGATGTATGGTGAGTTACAGATATAATGGTAAGTTAAAAATCAAGAAAATAGAAAAAAAATTCAAGGTGTATTCTGTACATTATCAGGCTAACATGCTGACACCACTATACCATGAGGAAATATCTTGTACTAAATGGATGCCAATAAGGTGTAGTATCATCATAACAAAGCATCCAGTTCTAAGTCAACATGTCAGTTCCTCTGCAAGATGCACGTACAAACAGAAATACATGCTTTACCATTTGCAAACATCTCACCTGGACTTCTTTGCTTTTAAGCTGCTAAAATGGACCCTCAGAAGTCTCCACCTGAGCACAGTTGATATTTTTTGGAAAGCATGTAAAGAGAAGGAGGGGACAACATTGACCACAGTACACTATGTTAAAACCTCTTGCAGAGGAAACATTTCAGAGCAATAGTCCATAACTCAAGCAAACACAGAATGCCATCAGTAGTTGAAGAAAGGGCTGTAATACCAAGACACTCCAACTGGTATCGTTACTACAGATTCCAAACCTTCCTCTCCCCCATGTATTAAATGTTACTGGCTCATCACAATTTATGTGTTTTATATTGAATATGTACATTACGTTATGTTACTAAGGCAGTTAGTGCATTAATCATAACATTTATAAACTTGAGAAAAAGTTGGAAGAATACATAATATTTCTTTCAAAAGTAAAATCAGCACAGAAGGTAAGAAATGAAATGAATGTTATTACATGTTACATAATGTTTTACACTACTTTGCTTATTATTTTATGATAGCCATATTAGTGATTAATGAAAACATTATGTCATACAGTTGTTCTCTTATATCTTCCCATAGTATCTAAATTCTTTTGAATTTTACTGTTGCTAAATAAGATGTAACATTGATTAAAATTAAGTGAGATAGAAAAGATGTAAAAATCAAAGTATATTTTTTTATCAGCAATTCATTTCCACACACTCAAATAACACACACAGTAAATCAATATTGACAATGAAGTGTCACTCAAAAGAAGGGACTTACCCTTTTTAAATGACACTTTTTACCTAAGGGTAGAGAAAGTTGCTTATTACTAACTATACCCGTGTTTGTGTTTTACAGGTGTTATAAGTGCTCCTCTACTGAACACTGTCATACTGAACATAGCTAGTGGGTTTGCATGGTGTATATATTCCTTTAATGTTACTTTGTATGCAGTAGTTTAAGTGTAATAAATACCAATAATAATAATAAGATTTTTTATTTAAAACACGAGCTTTCAAGGACTTTCGAAAGTTCATCATTGGATAAGAGACTAGGCTTAACTAATTTGGTGTTTTGGAATTTCCCTCAAAACTACTCAAGGGTTATCTGCACTAGCTGTCCCTAATTCTGAAGTGATAAACTAATCAACATCACCAGCTCTTGGGATATACCAATGAATAGTGGGATTGACCCTCAGGTTATACCTTTCCAATGAGTGAAAGGGCAAACAAGATTTGGTGAATCAATGATAAGAGAAGATGATAACACATCTTTTAGCAAAGTAACCACAAGCAGCTAACTTTAGCTCTTCCATAGTTGTGAATGATTCCACTTTCTAGGTTAGTTTTTGATATTTTGTTGTGTAATGCTTCCTTTTTTTGTTAGATATGCCTCTTTATCTCCAATAAAGATGTTGTTTGATTCAAACAAACAGCAGAGATAGCCTGACTTTCAAATGGATGCAATGGTTTATTGTGTTCTTGAATAAGTACTTGTATGATATTTTTGTTTCATCAACATATTCTTTCTCGCAGCCACACTTTATACCATCAACAAAATTTCTTTGTTCTTGTTGTGTTTCCAATTTTTAACATTTATTTGTTGATCTCTGAACATGAGCTTTCATCTGAAAAGTTTTTACACCATTTTTTCTACAAATGTGTGTCAGTTTTTATGATAATTTAGTTACACAAGAAAGAACAACTATTGGTAGATTTCATGTTGAATTGGTCTAATGGTTAATTTCAGTGTCTTTCTACACAAATATTTTGCTAATGACCAATATTTTTTTAATGGATCACCATTTCTTAGAAAAACAGTTTTTAGATGTTTCAGTTTGGCATTAATAAATTGAAAATAATTTCTAACACTGTCACTAAGTAGTTTATGATTCTTTATTTAACACCAGGTGGGTGGCAGGATTGATATCTAATATCACAGAGTCAGTAGACTCTATATGTAGGGATGGCCAAAGTACTCAATAGACTTAATACAAATATGTATGCTCAAAAATCAACAATGATAGAATGTGTTACTTTAAAAGATGATTGCCACTCACTTTTATTTGTTTCTTTATCCAACAAGCCCAAAAACAAGGCAAGAAACCAACCAAAATTGTTCATCTTTCTTCTTCTTGTTTCAGTTGAGATAACTCTACAACTACTTTATCACTAACATCAATTTAAACCTCAATCTAATTTATGTGTTTCTGAGCAGTGCATGATGTCATTGCTTAGTCATAATTACAAGTAGTAATTTTAAAAAATCATAATTCTAGTGTAAACAATGTTATCATTACCCCTTTAAGTTAGCTTTCTAACATAAAAATGGTGATCCTTTAAAAAGCTTATGTACAAGGTAAAACGGGAATTTCCAGCCAATAATAGGTGAACATTAGATGACTGTAACATGTAGAATACTCAATGCTTTGTACACTATACAATCAGTGTCTTTAAGAAGCCAACCCCCATATTATGTATAAAGGGAAGGAATAAAAAAAATCAATATAAAGATATTTTAGTTATATTGAAACCAATTTCATATTTTTGCTCATCTTGTCATTCATCTGTTCAAGTTTTGCCCACCTTGATAAGACAACTCTCCATCCAAAACATCTGTGGAATGGTCACTGTCTAAAACCTTACAGGAAAGGGGTAGTTATCAGGAATTTTTTTATCTGTAGGATGAACTGAATCAATGAGCACTGGTTGTTAAGATGTTCAAGAAACTCATCTAAATTTCATCTTACATAACACAAAATAACAAAAGTGTCACCCACATATCAGAATCATCTAAGAGGTTTATAGTCAGAAGATGTAGTGCATGATTTTACAGTTCTTCTACACACAGTTCACATACACTAGGTGATAAAGGAAATCCCACTGGTATCTCATCAGTCATGTGAAAACATCTACTTTCCTTGTATATTAGTTTGATGTTTATCAATAACTTCTTGCTTGCATTGTTGTCAACAACTGTACTGTATCAGAGTAAATGCAGTTGTACATGTACAATATTTGTTATTTGAACTATTCCTTTCCAAGTTAGTTAAGCCTAGCCAGCCACTTGAAGATGATCTCTTGCAAGAGCTTGAAAGCTTATAATCAAAACAAAAAATCTTAATACATGGTAAAAAAAAAGCCTGTTAATTCTCTGTAACTTATATATAAATGTGTTCTAATCTAACACACAGTTAGTAAAACTTTTTTGTCCCCTATTCCATAGAAAACTGCTTATTTGCATATGGTGTGTATCAGTATTAATGTTTTGAATAACGAAGACAGTAATTCATCAAGTAAATGAACAGTTTTAGGCTAATACCTTACCAGTTAAAAGTTAAAAACTGGTATTATACTCAATAAATGGATATGAGAAACTTCTTTTTGTTCAAACAATTAAATTTACAATAGTGGTATAGAACATTAACTAGGTTTTGCCCATGCTGACAGTAATACATCACACAAGACTGGAACCAAACATAGTTTGTACTCTTATAGATTTAAAATCACGAGCAATTATAATTTTAGATATCAATTAAATTTACAATAGTGGTATAGAACATTAACTAGGTTTTGCCCATGCTGACAGTAATACATCATACAAGACTGGAACCAAACATAGTTTGTACTCTTATAGATTTAAAATCACGAGCAATTATAATTTTAGGTAACAATTAAATTTACAATAGTGGTATAGAACATTAACTAGGTTTAGCCCATGCTGACAGTAATACATCATACAACACTGGAACCAAACATAGTTTGTACTCTTATAGATTTAAAATCACGAGCAATTATAATTTTAGGTATCACGAAATAAAGAAAAAAATGCAGTTAGATACAAAGGCTATGTCCTACTAATTCATCCTACAGTATTTTACATAGTATATATAAATCACACAATAATCATTATTGCATATACTATTATCTAAACCAGAAGAAACATTAATTTTAAACACTTTTACCTGTAAATTATAACATTGTAAAACTTCAGATGAAATTTATAAGTTTGTGAACTTTTCAATTTTCATCTCAACTCTCAAATTATCAACCTCTTTTTATGTCATTCACTAGTGGTGCAGTCAACATAATGCATCATATTTTATGTTTGTTGCTTGTTGCAATGTTACATTGTACAGAATTGGCCAAAGTAATTGGGTGAAATTCTCTATGTTAAATACATACGAAAATTGAGCATTAACAAATTTGTTTTTTTTTTTATTCTTTGTGACACATGTTATTACGGACAATGTAACCAATGAAGTTATGGACATAGAAGTAATTTAACACATAAAGTTTAGAAAAATGTGTTTAAAAAGCTGATGGGGGTCTATATGGCCTCCAATGATAATTATATGATTAAAAAGGCTAAAAGTAACACTTAAAATAATGGTGACGTGTACACAGTTCATAAAGTTGAAGGTTCCTTGATACACCTACATACATACATCATTAATAGTTTTGCTTTTAATCTTGTAAAAATAAGTGTAAAGAAATTCTTAGAACTGCATCACTTACTTTGGGGGTTTAAGATCTCTGTGTACCAAAGCATTAGGTTTTAGATTATGAAGATAAGCCACACCTCTTGCACACTGAAGAGTCCAGCTGATTGCATGAGCTGCTGTATAGTGAACTTCAGGCATGCAGTGTAGTACTGAAAATAGTAACCATATAATAAATACACACACTTTTGAAATCTATTTTAACTGTCCATAAAACATAAGAGAAAAATAATAATTAAAAGATGCACTTAAAACAACCACATGCCAAAATAACTGCCATTTATTACCAAACAAAATAGTAGGAAATGCCCCGACTAGCACAGATCCTGAAATGAAAAACACAATCACCAAAAGATTACGAATGTGAGGATGTTGACACAGTGACCGTTAGTTAAGCAACTAGCCACAGTGATGCCTGTTGTTCTTGTTTACCTTGTTTGGACTAGATAATAGTATACTTTAATTTACTATATTGCTTACTTATTATAGTGTTACAATGCAGCCAGTGTCATATTACTTCAGGTACACATGTAACAAAGTAGAGGACTTAGAGGGTTAAATACCTCCTCTTAGCCATAAACGTTTTCAATTTGTACAAAAAATAGAAATTAGAAAACGTTATATTTATATAACTGAATACTTATCTCTAAGCTACTTTGAAATAATGAGAAATACACTTTTTTGTTATTTGTTCAATAACCATTATAATATTCAGAGAGGACATCTGAAACTTTGTTTCAACATTTCAACTGTGTGTGTACTCCTTGTTTAGCACACAAATCCAACTTATGTGCATAAAGAGTAATACAGACATAAGTAATGACTTTTGTTTTGTTTATTGCTGCAGCTATACCTAAAGCTCAATTAATTTTGATTTATTTTCAGTAAACTATTTTTATGTACTTTTTATAATAATGTTCAACTATTATTTACAACAAAAAAAATCCTATCATTTTCTTGCCAAAAAACAGACTTTATAAGAGTAATTATTATTAAAATATTTTGGTACCATTTTATATTCTGAGGATTGGTTTAGTAAAACACAATTCTTATTCTAAAATTTATATATATTGTTGTGCTCAATATTTTCCATTTGATATATGTCACATAAACATACATCTAAACTATACTTTATCTAAAAAAAAATTATTAAGTTTATGTAAACTTTAAAATAATTAATAACAGCAAAACAAAAATAAAAAATGATCTCATACTATGTTAAACTTTTAAAACTTTAAGTATTTTAATATATTATATAAAGATTGTGTTATTTTCTTATTAACTACATTCGTAGAGGTGGGTCTTTCTTTTCTGTGGATTGAAAGTTAGTCACCTCCTTAGTAAAAATTCCTGGTTGCATGCATGACTCAGGGTAAAGTTACTTTAAGTCCAAAACATTAGTAACTAAAGATTTTTTGGTATTGTCATGTTTTAATATTTCTTATAAAACTTTAATTTTCACCTTGTGAATCATTTTATTTGCTACATAATAGTCATCTAGTATGATCATGTTTTATTGCCAAATAGTAACATTGTAATTTCTTTCTTTTTCTAGGATTAGAGTGAATTTGTTTCCACCAACTTGTATGTTATCTATCACACAGTTTGACATTTACCAGTTTTGTCAAACAAAATTTAAAGAGAATTACTTTTAATGGTGAATAAAGTTTGTTTAATAATAAGTTAACTACTAAAACAATAAATTCAGATTCCCAATACTCTGTAATAATGCTATATTCTCTTCTTTAATGAAACTAATTTTTAATGAAGAATTAGTTTATTTAGTAATAATTATTCCAGTTTTCTGTAACAATCTTATACTCATTTTTTTTCAATCTTGTTGACCCTGAAATCTCACTGATTGGTCAAGCAGTACCACTTACTATAATGGTAATTTTTTTTAAAGGGCATGCACAAGAGTAATGTTCAATAACACCTGAAAATGTTATATTTATAATCTTTCTGATTTACAATCAATGTCACAAAGTAATGTTCATTTTCTCCAACTAAACTTCAATAGTTTACTATCACTAGCTAGTTTTGTGAAAATTTGTAGGGAGAAATCCAAGGAACAGTATTAATTATATTTTCAGCTTATTACAAGTTTTGTATTATGTTGCATATATATTTTCATGTACACCACCTTAGGATTAAAAAATCTTAATTCTGAATATTTGTTCTTGAAAATGTCTTTCACATAAAACAATGGGTAGTTTGAAAATTTCTTGAGAAAGAAGGAAAAACAAGTTAGAAACAATTAGTCTCATATAGAAATCAATCAGATGAATGTCACTGATTGAAGGACCCAATGATTAATCAATTAGCAAATTTCTCTAATCACTGAGTTCTACATGAAATGGATACAAAACTGAAAACTTTAAATTTCTTGGCATTTCATGCATAAGGAAATCCTAAGGCTAAAGCTTTTCCAAAATCCAAACTTGGCAAGAAACTCCTGTGTGTGTCTCTAAGACAGATGCACAACTAAAAAATATAGACCTTAAAATGTTGTATAACATTGGTTATTTACCTTTGCAGTCATCTTGATCTTTTATGTACAACTACAGTCCAAGGTTTAAAAAATATATAGATTTGATTCTTGTTTTACGCTGATCATTCATTTTGCAGATAAGCTGTTTTTATGAACAACTAGGACTCACAGTGTATATACAACTTTGCTAAGTAACTCCCTGTTAATCAATGCAACATACTTATAACTTTGCCTTATATAATGAAGAGGTTTCTTGTTAATAACTTGTTTACTTGTAAAAAGTATTCAAATATTTCAAAAACAATTCAGGTTGAATTGCACAAGATTCAACATCAAAACCTTTTATATCCCTAAATATGTATTTAGTTAACAAATGCTGAAAATTCTATGCATACACATATATAACAAAACAAGAGGGAATCCTCAATAGCCATGGCACTTAAAATTCTTTTAAGCAGGATTAGAGTAAATTAATCTGACGACCTTTGTTTCCCTTTTTATTAGCTATATTTTTGTTTGCCAGCAATACCAAGCATGGGCTGAGCTTATACCCGATTTAATTTTATTACTAATCAAGATTTCTACCAGCCTACCATCAAACTGAAATTCTTTGAGGCAGAATTAGAATAAATTAATTTATGAGACCTTGGGCATGGTCAAATTAACCAATCGAAAGGGTTTGACCTCCTGAGTCCAAAACTGTAATTAGATCTCAAATCAGTCAAGAGATGACAGAGCTATGAGCTAAAAGTTTGTAACTAAAAAAAAAACAAAAGAAAAAAACTCAAGAGCCATCCTATGAGCCATTCAGCCACAGCTAAAAATATAGTAAAACTGTAGAACAAAAATTATTGAGGCTACTATACAAATAACCTTTGTAAAATTGATAATGGATTAAACTGGGGAAAAAAAAAAAGAGGTTCTAAATTCTTACCATTGTACAAAGATCCTCCTTCAGCATATTCCATAACAAGACAAACATTCTATAAGTATGTAAACAACTTGTTAAAAATAATGTAACGGTAACTGAATGTAAAGCTGATTATTGAAAAATAAGTAGATTACATGTGCATCTATGATAATAAGTTGATATTTTAAATTACTTCTTTAAAAAATATACAAAATTTCAGATACATTACACATGTTTAATACTATTACTACTAATAATAATATTCTGGTTGTCTGTACTGTTAAATAAATGAATAGAATAATCCAAAATTTTAAATTAATAACATAAGTTTAATATAACTTTTTGGGAAACAACACTATTAGTAAAATTTAATGATTATTCTGGTAATCTTCATTATCACAAGGAAAGAACTAAGTAATACAAAACAATCACACTCATTATAAAGGTGTAGTAATAATAAACTAGTAACCTTCATTATTGAAAGCAAAGAACTAAATAACACAATATATGTTTTACATGGGTTGAATATCATTTTGTCAACTTTCATAGTTACAAGAGAAGTACTAAATGATACAAACAATTTCATATACATTATATATATAGATTCATTAATATATGGTAACCTACACTGCTACAAGAAAAGAACTAAATAAAAAAAAATCATATTCATTAACTCCAAAATGACAAGGTGCATCAAATCAACATACCTGTCATATGGTTTACTGCATTTAAAAAGAACTACTGAACAAAACTGTTTGAAATTTCAGACAAAATATCTACAGATTATAAGATACTCACCCCTTCTGGTAAATTTCAATTATTTATTTTTATGTCTTCCTACATTCTTGTAAAAGCTTTCCAATAAAGTTTTTGTTTTATAAAATAGTAAATTTTGTCTTTGCTTTGCCTAAAAAAAAAGACTACATAATTTAAGTTTTTTATGATTTCTGATGTACAACTAAAATAATTTTTCACCATACCAAAATTATAAGTAAGCAGAATTTTTTAAACTGTTAATAAAGTCTCATTTATATATATTAAATTTCTTCGGTGATTTTTTTTCTTACACATTCAAGCAGTAACTTAGGCCAATAAGTGCTAATGTAATCACGGCCTAACAAGCAGCAGCTTTGTCAGTGAAATATAACTTGACAGATCGGGTGCATATTGAGTTAACTAAAAATATTTCTTTTCCTATCATACTGCAATAATTTACTTCAAATGAAGTATAAAACAAGAATCCAATCTTTTCACAAGCTTTAAGAAAAACATCAGGACAGTAACTGTGATGCAAGTTGTTCCTAAACATCATTCCTTCTAGCAATATAATACCAAGATAAGATTTTTTAAATTTTGTTCCAATCTCTATGCAATTCTTTGCTGAACTGAAAGCCAAGATGAACGGAACAGAAAAAGATCTTATACTACATACTTAGATCAATACTCCATGACTTCTAAAAACTAAGATATAAATAATTTACATAACACCATGGAAACCGAGAAACAGTGGTTGGTTAAAATCGAGATCACTATATTTGCATAAAATTTACAAGGTTCAAAATGGAACCATTTTGTTCAGAACAATTTTGACTTTTTTCCCAGGAGACTATAATTATAAGTAAGTAGAATCAATCCATAAACAAAATTTGCATGTTTAGTTTCATTTTTATGTATAAAATTACATAAATAAACTTCTGTTATTGAATAAATTTCAACTGTAAATATTATTAAAAGATGTGTGGAAGAACAATATAAAATTTATTTTATAGAATGTTTTGGTCTAATGGTGTAACTTTGCTCATGGGGCAGGATGCACCGAACCACTTGCCATAGAGTTAAGCAGGCTCAATAATATTCTGGTAACTTTCAATGTTATAATAGGAAATGAATTTTACTAACCAGTGTGATTAAAAATGCTCAGTAATATTTTGTAAATGGTGTTTTCTTCTCACTTCTTGTGTATCTTTTGTAATGTCAAAGCTCAGAGGTTGGGCAGCTACATTACTACTTCTTAATATTTAATATTCTTAATAGAACATTAATATCTGCAAAATTTATTAATGCTTTTTAAACAAAAACTGGTAGAAAGATCAGTCTGATAACCTTTAATCCTAAAGAAACAAAATTTAATACAATAATTTTCATGTAAATTATAAAGATTTTAAAATCAACTATCTATTTATCGATTACAAACTGTATTCAGTTGACTTGCATATAAGAATTACAGAAGCTCAAGCAGATGAGGGTATATAGCTCTATACCCAGTGTTTGAATATTTATGATGTGATAAACACTAAAAATTATTTCCTAATGTTTCAGTAAGTAATTCATGTATTTTAATTTCCAATAATGTAGTAATTAAGTTCACCAAATTCAAAAACATTAATGTACTTAAATTTACTACTCCACTAAACAAACCATTAAAGAAAAACAGATCATAACATATAATTAAAAAATTGTTCAGACTAATTACTTAACAATGAAACTAGTCTCAATTAGTATTGTTAACACTAAGATGATATGAAACTATAACAAACAAGTTCTAAAACTGGCAAACGAGTTTCTCCCTTAAAATGTTTCCAGTCAATTAATTATTCAATCATCATTAAATACAGCAAAACATCTGCAATAAATAAACTTCCAATACACACTTCTTATAAAATAGAGTATGAGAAATTCTGTCCACAACAAAGACATCTTGTTTAAAGCCTGCTTTCACCATTACTTTCTACCATAAAGAATGCAACTGATTTTAGGATAGGGGCTTCATAGGAGTACACCTGGGAGACCACATCTTGTCTAAACCAGGGCACACCCTTTATCCAAAAAGTAGAGGGAAAAGAGGCAAATAAGCCTCATGTGTTGCTTGGATGGGCGGAATGAGAACATGACAATCTGAGTACTTGCACACAAGCTGTTGGTTAGTTAATATGTGTAGCATGGTTTGGGCATGTTCAGACCATACCTTGTGTGCTCACTTCAACACTAATGAATAGACTCTGGCTGCAAGAGAAGGGCACTTTAGGGTGATCTGCATTAAACTGTCACTGTCATCCCCACACTTCTCATCATATTGTGCTAAGACCAATCAGTGAGGATTCTCCATGATATACCACCCCAGCAGCTGATAAGTGATAACGGTCTCCCAGGCTCCACTTGAAGAAAAAAAGGGGAGAATTCATGTTGGAAAGACTACAAGGAGTGTCTGGACCCCCAACCCCATCAGACCTCCTGCCAGAAAGGTCTTTTACTGGAGATAGTGCAATAGGTGACCACAAAACCCTATTTTTATAAGCCAGCAAGCATGAGCCAAGGAAATGGGCAGAACTACCTCCCTGGTGCTGACTTCTTCCATGATAGTCCATGGCATAGGTAGGGTCTGCATCAGACAACTGAGTAAATATGTATACTACGAGGATACCTCAAGTAGTCTTGCAGAACACCACCTCTCGCAGTGGGCACTGGTAGAGCCAAGGCAGGTGGTATAACCTAGGAAGCAACACCAGCCATCTGACAGGATCATATGAAATTAAAAAGAGGCTCTGAAAAAGAAACAAGGATTGTTGCATATAAAGGCAAGGAGCTGGGGTAGAAGAAAAAGAGGGGAATAGAAATATGGAAAGAGATAACACCAGGTTTGGCTGAAAGCATTGACAGCCAAAGCCAAATCATAAGAAACAGGGGGCCAGAAGAAAGGGATCCCAGGTTTAAGAAGGGTGGCAAAGATGGCTTTGAGAGGCATGCCCAACAGAGAGCAAACCCAATGAAAGACCTGGGGGTGTAGAGACCACTCCACTGGACAAATGCAGACTGGCTTAGAGAGACAGTCTACCACTAAATATTTAGCTCCCAGCAAATGACAGACAACCAGACAAACTTGATGTGAATGGGCCAAAAAGAGTATATCCAATGCCCAAAAGCAATGGGTCCTGGAATGTGTGCCTCCTGGAAAGCTGATGTAAGAAATGACCATGGATTTGACAGAGTGGATAATGAGTAAATGATCCATCAGTAGGGACAGGAATGGGAACATGCCTGATGAACAGCGAGAAGTTCAAGCATGATGACGGGGAGTAAATGCTCATCCTGTGTCCAGATGCCAGAAGTCATGTCCTTGTCCAGAGGTGTGCCTCAATCAGAGAGGGAAGCATCAGTAAAAAAAGATAGGTCCAGTTTGGGAGTTGGTAAGGAAACACCAGAAGTAGTATGAGCATGGTCCAGTCATCATGACAATTCCTTGAGAAGAGGTTCACAAATGAGAACAGTGGAACCCGAGAAAGAAACCCTGAGATTTGCAAGGTCCACTAGAGGATGCATATGTGTACACACTCCAAAGGATAGAGAAAAAAATGGGAAGATACAAAATTGTTGGACAGAACATAGAAACATATGGAGAACAAGTCAGGAGTTTTGTGTAGGAAGGTGTCCAACACACTGACTATGGGCAACTGCTGACTGGAGGAAAAAGATCATAAAAGTGGTCAGAGAAAGAGAAGAAAAAAGGTAATGAAGAGAGAAACCAAGGTGGAGAAATGAAAACAACAGATGGCAGAAAATAAGACCAACAGCAAGAGAAGAGGAAGAGATGGGTAACCACAGGGTTGGACATGTCATAATAGTCATTGCCAAGAAAAGCAATGAATTAACGTCTGAGAGAGGGAGAATGAGAAAAAAGGAAGGCCTGAAACTTGGAATGAGAAGGTTACTATAATAATTCATATGTGGAACTGGAGTAAAGGGCAAGGTCAAAAAAGAAGAAAAACATGGGAAGATAACAAGGACTGAAGTGATATAACATGTAGAGGTCCCCAGAGACACCAAAGACATCCAGGTAAAGAAAGGGAACCCGACAAAGATCATGTACACAAGAAGGAAGGAGTATAGTAAAGAGGAACATAACCTGACCCAACAAGTCCCAAAAGCAAAGTAGGGAGGGACAGAGCTGCAGAAGTCCAACAAACAGGCTAAGCTGGCAAATGAATGGAGTGAACTTCTACATAAAACCCTTCTAGAGCAAAATAAAAAATGGAGGTAGAAGAGGGAATACAGGAGAGTAGTGAGAAAACACTAAAATGTGAAAATGGGGAACCAGAGAATGAAATTGAAGGTAAGGGACCTGATCCCCAAGACGCCCAAATAGATACCAAGGACAGGGAATCAAGAAATGAAAGGAAGATTGTCTGCAACTCAGCCCAAAAAAAGTCACGAATGTAAGGGAAAGAGGCATTTGGGTGTGAGAGAGGAATTATTAGAGAAAGTAAACAGTATAAACACTAATAACAAGAGAGAAGGAAAGATAAAGTAAACTCCAAGAATTGGAATTATGGGGTAAACAAAAAAGAGAGAAAGACAGAAATATTAAGGGTCATGGTCAAAAGAAAAGAAACTTGAATGAGAATGAAATCCAGAAAGAGATTGAAAAGTTAAGGTCATTTATTAGTTAGAATGAAAACACTGAATGTGATCAGTCATGATTGCTATTCTGTTTAAAAGTTTTACATGTCATTGACTGTTTGTTTACTTAAGATACTATGTAACATTAGCATGATTTGGGCTTATTTTTTTCAAATGTAATGAAACTTCCCAGGAAATAAGGTGCCAAACATTAGTTGAATAAAGATTCAAAATTGCCAACTAAACAATAATTATAATTTTTGGAAATAAATAAGATATAAAAACATAAAAATTGTAATTGGATCTTTTTACGGTCTTTGTACATCAATATTGCCATAATTTGATTTTTTTCAGGGTCTATGTCACTTTTTTTTTGCCAACCATTAGAGCCTTCAGACAACCTGGAAATTTCCTTAAAATTTAACCCTGAGTAATATGTGTGTGAATTTATTAAGAACATCAAGATTTAGTTAAAACATTCTTCAGTGTAAGCAAACAACTTTTAAATTGATAAAGACATAAATTAGTAACTTAACATACAACCTTTTTCTCCTTATTATAGATATGAAAAATGGAGATAAGTAGGTTCTGAATGAAATGAATTAATACATTACACTGAAGAATTCAAAAGCTCTATTGTAATGAAAAACCATTTTGAAAATATATATATGAGATACAAAATGTGATACAAATCCATTATATGGAGTGACAAGTGATTTCAAAACTGGAAAAAAATACACAGTGAGAGAAATAAAAAAAATATAAAAATTATTACAAACTTTGTTATTCTATTTCACAATTTCTACTTTTCATATTTGAAAATGTTTTCAAACTCTGTTATTCTGTTTTATAGTATCTACTTTTTATACTTGTAAAACTTATTACATTATTCAAATGTGTTTATAAATCATCTTTTCTCACAAATATACACAAAAGAGATACTGGATGCAACGTGATGTAAGCTGTTCAAATAACAAACACAATGTAAAAGTGATATCTTACATTTGGATGGGTGCAAGCACCATACAAGGTTACAATATTGGGATGATTGACTCGAGAGAGCTGTCTCACCTGGAAAACAAATCAGGGTGTGTTTTACTGCACTAATACAAAACACGTATGTACAGTAAAAATTAAAAGCATTGAGAATTTGGTAGTGAGCAAGAATTGTTGATTATTGTGCTTCAGGCAAATACATAATTCAATGTTGTTTTCGAAGATGTATTAACAAACATATCACAAGTTACTAAAATACCACATAATGCATTTAGTTTTGTGGAATAAACCAACATTTTACATTTAAATTGAGCCACCCTATCCCATTAAAAGTCTTTGAGAGATTGATAATATCTTTTTTGACAAATACAACAACCTTAGAAAGCAGCAGTAGTATACATGTACCAATAAACTACTTTTCAAAACCTCTAGTATACAATGCTCTCTACTAAGGAAAAATAAAAATAACAAGACCATATATCACTTTTTTATTATTACTTTTTTGGATTATAAATCTTTTTTTTCTTCTTTTTTTCTCCCAAACATATTGCCATTAGTCTTAATTAATGATGGTACTTGAAATCAATTTTTAGGTTTAAACTTTTTGATAGACTTTTTTCATAAACTTTAAGCCTATTGGTTTTGGGTACTTCATTTTCTTTTGGCATTTTAACCATAATTTTTAGGTTATATGATGTAATAAGAAAAATACATTCTGGTACATGTGGAACATTGATGGATTTGTGAAATATTCCACTCATCACCGAGCCACTTGGGTAAGGCAACTTCATGAAATAGATCAATCAATTTTTGTTGGAACGCTATGGGTCAAGGTTAGTAAGGTCTTGGACTCCTACTGCCTTGTTATTTGTTACTACCCTTAATAACTGGTCTAACATATATAACAGCCAGTGTCTATCTTTTGGTAATGTATTAAAAATTAAAAATTTCAAGTTATAAAGAATTACTTCATTAAAATATTTGGTGTGCCAGTAAAATAATAAGCCATTAATGTCATATCTTTAAAAATTAATCAGAGGATGATAAATTTTTTTTGATAAACAAATTTCAAGGTAAGAAAAAAAAAAGATTTTCATATTCATTGTAATTTAGGGCTTTTTCTCATATTATGAGTAATTTTTAATTTAAGTTGCACCATTCTTATAGATTTTTTGAAAGTGTACTTGAAAATGTTTGTTATTTTCTCAATGTGTGAATGTTTTTTGTTTGTTTTTTATGAAGTTGGGACATTTGGTGAACAAAGCCCAATGAAGGAAGGGCAGGGGCCTCTAGGGATGTTTTTACAAACCTCCAACCCATCATTTCTTGATGGTTTGGGCAAAGCTAGTGTATATATACGTATATGTCATCATATGATGTTTTAGTGAAGGAAGTACCACACTCATGAAACATGAAGCAATGTGTATGTGTTAAATATAATGATTTATTTAATAATAATATTCAACGTTAAACTGGTACACAGTTAAAAACATTTTATTTAGTCCTATCTATGGCCTTCAAAAAGTTGACGACTCTACATAGGCAATAGATAGGCCTAAATAACTGTGTACCAGTTTAACATTGAATATTATTTATGATTTTGATAATGATTTATGTCCAAATGTATTAAATCCAGTCAAAGCAGAGCACAAAAGCTCAATTCTCTATTTAAAAAATGTGTCGTACAGAGGATTACACACACTTTATTTGAACAATTTGTAAATGCTAACAGTAGTACATCACCACAGGAGTGAGCCATGGTGTTATAGCTGACAAGTTTAGCAATTAGTATTTATATATTTTTTCACTCAATGGATTTTTGCCCATTTAACAGTGCAATACCATAATGGGTACTTAAGAACTGGGGAGTATATGGCTTTATCTCATGAAATGAATACTCTCCTAACTTGAAAAGTCAGTTTTTGGATTTCCCTAAATTCATATGAAAGATGATTGTTCTGGAATAATTTGTCCATTACATTTCACTCCACTAAATATTCTTCAAATCTGATTGGCTTGTTGGTGAATTATGTCTAACATGAAGTTACTCATTTCCATTAAGGAATGAATTCAAAGGAGATCATTGAAGGAACATTTAAATCATTTAACAATTTACCTGTATGAATATAAACACACATCTTTATGAAAAGAAATAATAAATATGCAATTATAAAACAAAAACTTAACATCATCATGTTTAAGTGGGCCAAAATTGTCAGCATCCACAAAACAATGAAGTGAAGATATCTTAAAGTGTAATCCAAACCTGCAAAGACAAGACATGCCAAAATTATGTTAACAAAACTGTACAGTCATGAGTGGTTTATAACTTTGTACTAGCATTCAAATAGCACTGTCTCTTCTTATGGCTTTCTCAGTGAAATGAAAATATACAATTATTTTTCAATATATATAATATTACACTAAATAAATAAAGTTTCAATTCTATCCTAAAAGATACGGTTTTTGCCTATAAAACAGTTGTTCCTACTCTTAAACTTGGTGACTTTCTGTCACCTTAACTGGTATTGGTCACATTCAAGGACAGTTTCAATAGCTATCATGTGATTTTATCTCTCAGTCTAGCATTCCTTTCTCATTTAACTCTTATTCTCTCCTTACTTATTTATTTATTTTACTTCCTACTGCAAGGAAATGGGATAGGAAAGTCCAACTTCTAGGTGACTGAAGGTTACTTCAATCTGTCCATACTTGTTGAAGCTTTTCTTAAATGTACAGTGTTCCAATTTATTTTATTCCTATGATAACTTACAGTGTCCTTTATTTGGTACTTTTTTTTTCACATTCAAGAAAGGAGGATGGGCTGCTTTTGATTATGTGGTTGAGGAACATAATCTTTATGTTTATTTATTCCTTTTTTTACACTAATTACACCTTTCATATCTTATACACTATTTTACTGCTATTAGCATTCTGAATGTTAACATTTTCCTCATTTGAAAATGTATTTCCAATAGATACTCACCTCCTCACATGGAAATGCTATCTTCCTCGTGTTCATGCCTATGAGGTTTGCATGTGACTAGCCTCGAGCTAGCTCCCACCTAAATTCATGTATTTAATGTAAATGAGCTGGTGCATGATGACATCATCATGCGACAAAAGTTCTCCACCAACAGGAAGGCAACCCAACTTCCACTCAAAATAACTCTTCCTACGTACTTGCACTCATGATAACTCATGAAGCAAAACAAAATGTGCACTGGAAGTGGAGAGGACCTGTGGAAATGTGTATAGAAGTGAGTATCTTTCAGAAAATACATCTTCAGATTAGTAAAATGTTAACTTCCGAGATGATAACACCTCTACACACACATCTGTAATGAGAGGGCAGAAGCGATGCCCATCATGGCACTAGCATGGTTGAGCCACTAATAAAAGAGTGGAGGAGAAGAAAACACACAACAGAGGACATCAGAACCCAAAAGGGTTCCACAGTTCCTACAAATACCACTGGAAGTGGCACATATGTGCGTAGCCCAAATGAAGAAGTATTATACAAGGGAAAACAAGTTCCCACCAAAAACAACCTCATAGACAGAGTTCACAGGTTGCACCAACTGTGGTGACAAGACCTTGTGATGCTCATAGGTAGAGAAGCAAAGGTCATGCCTGACAGAGAAGGGAACCAAAAACACAACAGGAAGTAACAAGTGAAGGGGTAAGTGTGAGAATAAACATGGAATCAAAGTCCTGATCTGTGAAATGATATAGAGACAGACATGTTCCTCAGGGCCAAACTTGTTGGGTTAAACACAAAGAAGACAAACAATAGCCTCATATCCAGGAAGGGAAGATGGGAAGGAAAATAAGGTCAGGAAACTAGGAAAGAAAAGGGTAGCATGGATTCAGAAGGCCTAGAAACAGGAATAGAAAGGTGAGGAGACAAAGATGAAAAACTATAGTACACAATGGGGACAGGTGTTGGGCCACCCCAGACTTGGCCTCCAGACCTATTGACAAAGAGAGGGAGACCTACAAAGACCATGGATAAAAGTGAAAAGGAGGTGTTCAATAGTTAGAAGAGCATCCCCATTCAACAAGTCCCAACAGAGGAATCAAGTAAGATGTGGTAAATCCCTTCAGAAATCCCTGGGAGCACAATAAAGTGCCTAGGACATAAGGTGAAGTAGCCAGAGGTAATGCAGAAAGACAGTAAAGTACAGACAAAAATGCAAAAACTGGACACTAGAAAGGAAAATAATAGTGAAGGGGTTCACCCCAATCAGATAAAACAAGTTCCAAGACAGGGATTTAAGTAATTGAAATTAATAATAGCTGTAAGCCAGAGTAAATGAGGCCAGTACACAAGAAAGATGAAGCATGAGAGTTGAGTTCTTCAAAAATAGAGTCTATATAGACTATAAAAGCAAGTGAATCAGGGATGTCAAAGTAGTTCAGGGTAGTAAAGTATGGTGTAGAATAAGAAGACAAGGGGAAAGAGAAAGAAAGGAACATACCTGAAAAACCATGTCAAGGAAGATATCATGAAGGTGAAGATTTTCATAAGGAAATAATGTTATGCCAAGAGCAAGTTCTTGTAGGAGAAAAAGTTGGTCAAACATTATCATCACGTCAAAACAGCGAGAAGGAACAAAGGCCTAATGAATGGAAGGAGAAAGGCCAGTGTGCCAAAAGGAATCCACAAGATGTCGAACAATGGCTGTCATGACTACTACAGACAATGAGCCCTTCCCCCTGATGATAGACACTATGTTAGGAACATAGTCACTATCAAGGGATGAAGTAGAAGTCACCATCACTTGAGAAGTGTCATTATGGTAAGTATAGAAAATTATATAATATATATATATATATATATATATATATCAAAGTCAATTTACATGTCTACAGTAACAAATGAAACCAGCTAAACTTGAACAAAATTCAAGTGTTGGAAACTATTGCAAATGACAAAGTTGAACAATAAACTCAAAGTATATCCATTCTAAACAGTGCTGAGGAAAAAAGTTTTCACAAGTGCATAGGGGGAGCTACTGGGTCAGCATGCAAATATCATAGGCAAACATTTGAAGAAGGTAGCATTTCTGTTTGCAGATGTGAGTTTCATCTTGGAATACTTAGGTTTATTTGTGGTGGGATGTTTATTCTTTATTTGATTTTATTAATGAGCAACTACCTTCTCATTGTTGGCTGCAGACAGTGACTGTGTAGTTTGGTTTATGAGATTATGGAGTCAAGTACCCGAACCAGGACCTCTAATAATTTCAATTTTGTTCATCTGTTGTTGCACAGCAGATTCTTACCCACATTGGTATATGATTGAAGAGATGGACTATATTCAACACCATTTGAATATTAGTACACTGTTATACACTACTCATGAGTATATAGATTTTTGACTTTTTTTGGTGTGTCATCTTCACATTTTTGGATTACATTTGAAGATTTATGTGTATATATATATAAAAGTACTAAATATAAAAAATATGAACATGATCATTATGGGTAAAAGCACCTGAATCTGACCCTCTAATAACTTTAGTTTTGTTCGACTGTTGTCACACAGTAGATTCTTACCCACAATGATGGTGTATGATTAAAACAAACAAATTATCTTCTACACTTTTTGAATGCTAGTATTCAGCTTTATACCATTTATGACGTTATAAGTTTTTTGACAATTATTTTTATTTTTGCATGTTTTATCTTTGCACATGTTATATATATACATACATACACTTTATTTTTTTTGGCTAAACATCAAATCATATTAAATGCTGTGATGATTAAGAGAGAATATTCTTTGACTCAAACAGCCAGTGTGATGAAGCTAAACATATCTCTTAGTACCAAAGATAACAAACAAGGATTTCAAGCAAAGGCTCACAATCCAAAGTTCACAAACTGCCAGTCACACATAATATTCAATGACAAAAAACACAACCCTAGGTGGACATGACGATGAGACATTCATATATCCTTTAGAAAAAAAAAAGATATCAAGTTTATAAGCCAAAGATGTTTGCAATACAATCAACAGATCTGAAACTAACCAAAGAAGATTAACTAGGGACTTCCACAAGTGGAATCTGATGCATTTATTCAGAATAAGCCATTATGTATCTCAAAGTTAGCCCTGAGAAAAGACAAATACTAATATATCATACATGAACATAAAATTACAAACAGCACAAACTAACAAACATTAAGCCACTACTTGCAACAATGACTTAGTGACACTAAACATTACACTATAAATCAAAGATTAACTACTCTACACCACTAAGTGTCATAATATCACTGTAGGAAAAGACAGACACTAAGCCATCACATGTACAGTTAATACTATCAACACCAAAATCAGGCAAACACAGTCAGCTTTAAAACTAGAAAAACTTTAGGGTACCCAATTTATCAGAAAAAACCTGGCCAGTGTAAGCAGGTCAAAACTATAAAGATCTTTAGAGCAAAATGTACTTTAGGTAGAAAAAGTATTTTAACCACAAAAAATGTTTTAACATATTTATGTACATATACAACACTTCTGAAGGCTGCATCTGCATACTGAAAAACTTATTAAGTGATGAAGAAAAAAATTACCATCAATTCGAAAATGCATAAATCCTTAAGTATACTGGCTTGCAGCAAACATAGGAAGCAAAATAAAAGATTTCAAGCCACAAGTAGCAATAAAACATATCACACTTTTCTTTATCCTTTAAATCAAAAGTGAGGAAAGGCTTGTATAAATTTAAAAAATTATTCTGAATCAGACGTGGTAGTGCTAGATTCAGTTATTATAATGTCATTAAATTAAATAACAGTATTCGGTTTTATACAAGACTACTAAAGAATAAAACCAAAATCTTAAACTATTTATCCTCATCTATAATTTTGTGACACAAAACAGGATGGATAAAATGCAAGAATACTGATCATCACAAACACTGCACTAAGGAAGGACTTCCATCAAGTATGATAATTAAGGAAATAACTAACTTTTCATTAGTAAAATTTAAAGAGAAGGTTACAGCTATGACAAACAAGTCAGCAGTTAGCTGGTAAACAGTAAAGCACACAAAAAATATCAAAACTTCACATACCTTTAAACAGATAAATGAATATTAACTACATTTTCCAAGTGCAAGAAGAAATATTATTTTATTTTGGGGCACTGTATATATTTAAAAAAAAGAGCACCAATAAATTGAAAACAGTGATAAACTGATAATGTTGACTATTCTTCTTATAAAATAAGTATAGATGCTGTCAAATACATATAAATACACAAAATATTACAAACATTTTGTAGAAGGTCCAGTAGAATGTTAATTTTGTAGAACAAATTCAAAACTGAAAAAACAACAAGATGTTAAGACCTTATATACAGTTGCAGAAAACATGGTTATCAAAATGTATATGTTGAGTCATAAAACAAACTGTTTTCACTATCCATACACTTACAGATAAAAGCTAGTAGCATTTTACAACAACTTTGATTGAAGCACTTCACATACATATACAGTTCACCCAGTTTCTAATATGATGCAATTTCTTTTTATAGCTTTAATCATAAACACTTGCATTATCTGTACGTAATGAGCACACACACACACACACAACTCCCACACAAAATGAGAAAAATAAATATTTACTTCTCCTTCAAAGGCTTTCCTTTCTTGTTCAGTCACAATCAACTTAACTGCAACATATTTTTCTCTCCACTGACCCTTACAGACTGTGCCAAATGTTCCTCTTCCAACAATCTGAACAACAATAAAAAAAAATTATGAGTTAAACAATGAATATCATACACTTTACCCTTTAATTATTATTAATATCCATTTTCAAAACAAAAAAATCTAAATATATATGTGCCAAATTGCCTGCGAGTCTGTGACTATGTTAGTTTAGGAGTCACAAGAAATTTAAACAAAAATACCATCAATATTTCAATTAATTTCCCAAATTACTGTTGAGATTTCCTGTGTGTTTAAACAGAGATTGAGCATCTTCAACTAAATGATTTTGGTCAGTTATTTACATTGAATGTTGTGAGGAGCAGAAATAAAATAAAAAAACTCCATATTAAGTAGTATATGGACCCTGCTAGTACAGGGCTGCCAACTTTCAGGACTCTGTTTGAGGGAGACTTTTAAAAAACAAAATTTTATCATGCAGTAAATTACTGGAAGCACCAAAGGTGGTTACCTTCTAGAGGAGTGTAAAGTCATTTTATTCAATGAAGCAAATTGATGCAATTTGATGTATTTCCTGAATCAATGTGATGCTAAATTTAACCTAGTTTCAGCCAGCAAATCAACCATAATTAGTTATAGAAAGCTACTAACTTGAATAAAGGTGAGATTTTTTTATTAAGACATGTAAATATAAGAAGATGCTCAGATACACGAGTGGTGGTAGCTCTAATAGTATGAAAGGTATGTAAACAAGGCAGAAGAAGATTTGATGATTAAAAATCAAGTATATGTATCAGACAGCCAAAAATATAATACACAAATCTCTATACATTTCAGTTTGTTTTCCTTATTAATAGATATATAATAATGTGTATTATGTTAAATTTTGAAACTAGTAAGCAAAACAACAGGCAGATGTAATAGTGCATATTTTCGTTAATATAGAATGATCTCAATATACTTACCGAGTTATTTCATAGTTGGAGAAAAAAAGTTTTAATATTGTAAAAGAAATTCACTTGTATTACAAGAATTTGGATAGTAAAGGTGATAAAAATGAAAAGTATTTTTTGTGATAACTTGTACTCTTCAGAGCCTTATATTCAGTGTTTGGTTCTAATGTGTTTAATAAAACTAACTGGTTAATGGGTCTTATTTGCAGAAATTTTCAATTCATAAGAGAAAATTTTGTTCTTTATATAAAACTCTTGTTGGGCTTTTTATGGTACATTATTTTCTGTTTTGGTTTCTTCTACATAAAAGATACAAAGAAGTAGCACTGAATGTATTACAGTGACTATCAATATTAAATACATATATGTTTTAAAGCAGGATTTAAAGTAACTGAAGTTGCTTTAATTGGGACATAAAAGATTTTTCAGTACAGTAAAATTATAACATCTGATACGATACATCTCTTCTCACATAAATAGCTAGAATCCCATGCTGAATAAGTGGAGAGATGAGTGCGAGTGAATAAAAGAAGCATCCTTGGAAAGTGTCCAAAGAACACCCTAAAAAGAGAAATCCTCGCAGTAGAGGATCATATGTGAGAGACCACACCACTTCTGTACCAGGTATACTCCAAGCCCAGTGTGGAAAGAGGTGATGCAGACATGGGTGGAAAAAGCACAAAGCACATCCAAAAAGAAGAGAACAGTGGTTGGGCAGGAATCCGAACCACCTGATATCTGAATCTCAATCCCATAGATGACAGTAATGTGGGTGAGAGTAAGATGGATGTACCACAAGGTGTAGAGTGGCTGAGGCATGATGGATCATACATAGCAAGTCAACTGCATCCAAAACCCAGACACTGGGAACCAACATCCATACAGGGATAGGATGAAAGGGAAAGAAAATAGCATCCAAAGAACACCCTAAGAGAGGAGAACCTTGCAGTAGAGGTTTGTATATGGGAGACCACACCACTTCTGTATCAGGTATTTTCCATGCCCAGTTTGGAAAGAAGTGATGCAGACATGGGCAGAAAAAGGAAGGAGCACATCCAAAAGGGAAAGCACAAAGGGATCTGAAAACCACCCGATATCTAAATCTCAATCCCATAGATGACAATAATGTGGGTGAGAGTAAGACTGATGTGCCACAAGGTGTAGAGTGGCTCGATCGTGATGGATCGTACACAGCAAGTCAACTGCATCCAAAACTCAGCAACAAGGAACCAACTTCTAAGTAGGGATAGGATGAAGATCATACCATCAGTCAGTCAACTACAATCCACAACTTCAGCCATCTAGTAGTGGTAGGAAAGAGGATCATACCATCTTCACTTCAACTTCAGCAGACTGGAGGGAAATATCATACCCACCAATCTGTGAACAGGACACATGATAGAAAAGTGATAAAATGTTTGACTGATCTGGGAACCTAACATCCAGATGATTAGAATAATAAAGATGTCTCTGTATTGTGAAATATCCCACTCAAAACCTATAACACAGGAACCACCCAAGCACAGTATCATCCTCAGTATATGAAAATCTTCTAGGGGTAGTGCAAGAGGAAGAACCATAAAAACCTGCATGTTCATTCACTGTGACCCACAAAACATTAGCAATGAACATGATGCCAACTAAGTGAGGGAACAGACACACCAGTAATACCTATGTTAGGACTTATGTTGATTAGTCCTGCTCTAAATCCAAAACTCAGCCACTGGGAACCAACATACATGTAAGGGTAAGATGAGGGATCCCAATCGAATGAGTGAACTGCAATTTTGATGGCTTACTCCAAAGCTATAACATCCCCTCAGATAGACCTGTTCAGAGATGGAGCATTAGATTGGAGGACATTTCATCATGTACTCCAACAGAACCCCACTGTTGTACTCTCAACTGAATAGATTCATTACTTTTTGTATTGTCTATCACTATCACATTCAGGAGGATACATCCATGGTCCACTACTCAAGCAGCTTGGAACTGGAAAGTTGTGAGGACTCCCATACTCTAATGGAAGAAAAAGAGGAAGAAGATGTGGTGGAAAGTCCAGAGGAACATCAACACTGGAGACAGTGCAACAGGTGACCACAAAAACCCTATTTTGAAAAGCAGACCATTCCTTATTTCATCAATCTAAGGAATTATAGGGATGGGCAGCTATCCCCTTCTGCTTTACCCATGTAGTTAATGGGTCAGTAGGGTCCAGAACTGGTATATTAATGAAGCAAATATATCATGAGGAAAAACGATCTTGTGGAACACCCCATCTCGACAGTGTGTTTAGTGGCCATGGAAATTATAACTGATAAGTCGTCATGGCCTTACAGTGCGGATTTGACTAGTTTATGTATACCTGGACAGGAACTACCAGCTACAGATCAGGATATGCAAAAAAAAGGGACATGCTCCTGAATAAGCAGTAGAAACAGCTACCTGTAGCAGATAATGTAAGATAAATGTACTACGTGTAGTCCCAATGCTCAACAGAAAAAGTACCTCCAACAGGCAACAGGGGTGAGATGCAGGTAAAGGGGAAGGTGTCTGATTGGAGTGAAGACACCAGGAACTGATTATGGGAAAAAGGAGACAAGGAAAAAAATGTCACAAACAGAGGAGTGGTACCAGGGAATGAAACAGCAAGAAAGGGAACCAATAGAAAGAAGCCTTGAAGGCACTGAAGCAAGCCAGAGAATGTACGGGACATAGACCATCCTGATACGACAGGGAATAAAGGTGGGAGATGGAAGGAAACTAAAATGAAAAAAAGAAAGGTCAAGCCACATGAGCTGCCAAAGTGAAGGGTAGGAAAAATAAATCCATAACAAAAAGAACAGATCAAGCTGAAACAGCCAAGAACACCAGATCTGTGTTGGCCAGGAAAGAACAATCAGATAGATCTGACACAGAGTGGCAAGGATAAATGAAACCACACAGGAATATTACAAATGGGATGAGAAAATAAAGGTATTAACTGGTCCTAATCCTGTCTGAATGCATCAATAGACAAAGCAAGTGG